CACTGGGTCCTTGCTATTTACTGTAACTGTACCTAAAACATACATTTACAGAGAAGCTGAAATGGAAGGGAAAGAAAAATAAATATCAGGCAAGTCTAAGCAAAACTGATTGTAGCTGTGTTATTGTCAGATAAAGTAGATGTGAGAGTATATAATGTCACTAGAGTTCACCAGGAAGATAAACAATATTTGCATTTAACGACACTGACTCATAAAGGGGAAAAAATTACAGAACTACAAGAAAAAATGTTGTATTTGCCATCAAAGTGGGAGATTTTTATATACTTCTCAGTAATTGATGGAAAAAGAGAAAAACTCTCCCCCCTTTGATTCCTAGTCCCTTGCTGTTTCTGTGCTGTTTCTTGTTTTTGCCTAACCTGTCAATGTTGAGATTCTCCCACTTCAGATCTGGCCCTCTTTTTTTGGTCTCCCCTGTTCCTGAAATCCTCATGACATGTTCCACTGTCTTTCATGTGATTAACCTTTCATCCTTTAGGTCTTAAAACTATTGCTTTATTAGAGACCTTCTTTAGCCATCCAATTTAAATAGATCCTCCACTTTCTTATTTCCTTGCAAACTTTCTTCTATAATTTATTATAAAATTTTATTTGTCTACTTGTTTAGAGGTCTGGGTACTCTGCTAGACAGAAAGGACCATGAGGAGGACTGTGTCTATTTTGTTTGCCAAGTGTAGATCTTGCCTCCAGCACAGTACCTGTCACATATGTCATATATCACTCTGCTCACCCATAGAAACTCAGGATATTTTAATGTAGTGTTAGCTAGCCTGAGAAAGAGAGATGAGTGGTGGCTTTATTTAAAGTAGTTGATTTTATACTAAATATTTAGGTCAAGATATACTTCACATGGTGTCTCTTTTAATCCAAAGATATATTTGATCAGTGTAAGTTACATGAAATTGACTCAGAACCAAACATTTAGAATTTTAAAGTGGTTTATGTCAACTCAAATTTTCACCTCTATAGTATCTATAAATCATTTAAAGATGGCAGTAAAAATTCAAAAGAGAAATGCAATTTTTAAGTCCTTGGATAGTTAATCTATACCCAAATTTATCTACATTTTAACAAAGAAAAAAGCAAAAGTGGCACAGTAGGTTAAGCCTTGGGCTAACCAAAAGGTGAGTGATTTTAACCCACTAGGTGTGAGGAACAGAAGAATTTCTCTTAAGTTGTCTCCCCAAAATATGTACCAAACTTAACTGCTTAAGAGGGACTGTACAATAGGTGATCAGTGAAAGTAGGTCAGGTTATTCTCCTTAACATCAGCCATCTATAGTGGCTAAGACTATTAGTCTGACTCACCCTAAATAAGACCCACTCCCTTCTGATAAGGATAATGGTGGTCTGTTTACTTGCAGGAGATACCAGAGAGGGCAAACCCGCCCAAGGATGACCAAGGTTAGATAGTCATTATCAGCTGTCTAGATCAAGCAGACACCATTGTTATTCACACAACAAATGTGGGCACACCCCTAGGTGATTCCCCTCCTATTGATTGTATTGCTTATGTTAGTACCCCTCCCGGTGACTCAGGTTATTGTCCGCTACCAGGGAACTTGCATGCCTCCCAGAATAGTAATTGTCTGTTTTATTATATGAGACATCAGAGTGCTCAAACTTGTTCTAGAATGAATTGTATTGCCCCACGTTGGGCAC